AAAGCAGTCAGGTAGATTTCATTTCTTTTTGCCCTCAGCATGTGCACAATTTGTAACTTTGGTATATTTTGAAAATGTCATGTAAAATATTGAATCAACTGCAAACTGTCATAGCTGCAGCTGTTGTGAAATGCATTGTATAAATTAAGTGTATAGAATTTTATTGTGTAATGTTTTTCAAAGGACAACATGATGACATTCAAAACCAACTGCAAACTGCAGTCTGAAATGAAGTACAGTGGAAGCATAAAGCTAGATGTAAATATTAAGTTAAATCACATAAAAATCAAGTCTGTGAAAGGCGACTAAAGCGAAAACAGGACAATAGCTAAGAAAAAAGTCCGGTCAAATTTATTTATATATCCCTTAATCACAAAAAAGACCTATCCAACTAAGACAAGTTTTAGTGCAGTGACAGAAAAGAGGCAAAAATGATCCTTGGACATGTTCCTTGAAAAAAAGTTCTGCGTAATTGTGACTATGCACGGACAATATAAATTGTAGTCGGTGCCTGTCGTGGCGGCAATCCCCCCCGCTGGTGGACACCGGCAGTAAGGGATGCTGTCAATCTGAAGAAAGACTCCTACAGGGCCTTTTTGGCGCCTGGGCCTCCGGAGGCAGCCGGACCTACCCGCTGGCCAAGCGGAACGCAGCTTCAGCAGTCACTCAAGCAAAAACCTGGGCGTGGGAGGAATCTGATTAGGATGCCTCCTGGATGCCTCCCTAGTGAAGTGTTTCGGGGCTGTCCCACCAGCAGGTGGCCCCAGAGATGATTCATGACACGCTGGAGAGATTATGTCTCCAAGCTGGCCTGGAAACGCCTTGGGATCCCTCCGGCAGAGTTGCAAAACGTGGCGGAGGAGAGGGAAGTGTGGGCTTCCCTGCTAAAGCTGCTGTCTTTGCGACCCGATCCCGGATAAGCGGTAGAAAATGGTACGGTAATACAAATGGTGTTGGTTTCCTTGCCTCGCAGGACTGGAAAAGATGGCTACATCCAAATCGATGGAGGAGCTGCGCTCCATGGACAGTCAAAGGGAAAAAGCATCATGGTCAATACAAAAGGACCGCTTTACCTCGGTGAGTGGACTTCATGGTGACCTGCACAATTACAGTGAAGCCCCCCCCCCCCCCCCATCGTGTGCGCTACATTCCACCCCACAAAATGTGAAATCCAAAATATCAAAAGTCGCTCAAAGGGGACAGTCATGGTTGGCCGGTTTGTGAGTGTGTATGGTTATGTGACAGGCGGTGTTCCAGACATGGCAGCCATGACAGGAGGGAAGTTCTCCTCTGGAATGACAGGGTGCGTGAGGAACCTGTCCCTGATGAACACCCGGCGAGAAGGTCAGCAGGCCCGGACCATCGACCTGCAAGGCCACGCAGCTCACAGTGTCAACGTGCAGCCGTGCACGTCATAGACCATGTACACAACACACGCGTGCAAAGACAAACTCCCAAATACTCACACGCAGTACACAAACACACATCAAGACTGTGGAGTGATTTTTATCGACACACTCGCACAGAGAGACTGACGCACGTAGAACCTTACACAAACTTGGTGCTCAGCTGCTACCAAAAATCAGACATTGCGGCAAGATCTTGGTGTGGAAACCACAACAAATCAGAAAAACATTAAAAACATTTCTTCTCTTCCTTATTCTTTTTATTTTTAAGTCTGGAAGAAGGATAACATGCAGTTTACATACTTTGAGCAGTAGTATTAGCCCTGAGAAATCAGATCCTATGGAGTTGAAGAGGTTTTTACAGCACTGAATTTCTATTTATATACATATGAATATATATAATATTTGTGGGCGGAGGAGAACTTGCAAACTAACCATAACTGCACTTCCTAGAAATTGTTCTGGCACCTAACACTGCTTCTCCAGAGGTTTTCACCATTGTACTACAATGACTTGCTGATGGCGAAGATTTCCTTTTGCCGTCGGTGTTGCATGAGTGCGTTTGCTTGCTGTGGGGACAGAGCAGGCGCTCGGAGCACGTACAGCCGCATGCAGTTTCACGACACAACTCAGGTCATCAGCAACAAAAACATGGTCGCGTTTTGACATTAGCTTTGGAGCACTTGTGTTGTCTCCGTTTGGCTTCTTTTTTTTTTCTTTCAACACAAAAAAGAAGACTTGGTGCTAAATGATGTCAGACACAAGCATACAGCAGAGGCTGTAGTCGTGGTTACATTTTTTTTTTTAAGGTCAATAAGATTCATAAATGTTATCAGTGATTTTGCATCAAGTAAAATGAAGTTATCTGACACAAGATGGCTTGGTTTTTGCACCAAACCACATAAAGTAGATTGACTGATTTAAAATTGGTCAAAACATTTCAGAAGGACAATGGTTTCCACTTATATTTACTTTAGGGTGTGCTATTTGGTTTCACACTGAAATGATTGGATGTTTTTGACACCACAGCCTTGTTTGATTGAGTAGATCTCAAAAATGGAGTTTCATATGATCTGTGTAGCTTTTGAAGGCCACTTGAGTCAGTCAACGGTGCGTGCCTGTTATCCCAAAGGTGCATTGAAATGTTTTGTTCTTGTGATGCTTTAGTCAAACGGAACCTTCGGTGCACAATGTCAGCCTGTTTTTTTGGAGCTGCTGCGACTCGTGTGCCTCCAATCAGGAATGCTCCCCCCTTTCTTTTCTTTTTTCTTTTTTTTTTTTAAGAACAACACAATTCTTTTTGGGGGGGGCTTAAAGTGTTTATATGAGCACCATCTTGTAAGTTAGTGCTGCTTCATTCTTATTTATTCTTCAAGTCTTTGCCTCCTTTAACTCTATAGATTTAGAGCATTTTTTTCCTTCCTCTGGGTGTCACGCGTTGCCTGGATATCTCCCTCAAGGTTGAGCACATCCCCCAATTTCCTCCCAGAAAAGTTCTTCAAAACATCAGGCTACAAACTTTGGTTTTAAAATTGCAGAAAATTGCCATTGTGTCTTTTTAGAATGTGAATATGTGATATGGGCATAGAGTCCAGGCTGTGGTCCAGTTAGGACGATATCAAGCTAGGTTCTGAAACTGGATTTTCATACAGTATGTACACTGTTGCTAAGTGGAAGCATTGTCATGCGAGATGTATTTGTTTTTTTAAACCCAGCATTGGTCTTTGATTTGAGCTCTTTATAAAAGGTGCACTTTTAGTCAGGATGTTTTTTTTTGTTTCTTTTTTTCCCAACTTTCGATGCATTGGCTCAAGTGATCAAATTTGACTTCACAATATATTGTTTATGTCACGACAACCCGATGGCCCAGTGTTGAAGCGACGTGCACCTACCCTTTGTGTTTCTTAAATAAAAAACAAAATTCATGTGCTCTTTGTGATATTGTGGGCTTTATTTGGTCGCCTGGATGTTGCTACATTTTTCCTCGATGCATTCTGCCGACATCCCACCCTCGCTCCCACATGATTGAGGTCACGTGCGAGTGATACTGGGAAAGTGGCAATATTATCCCCAAGCATATTCAGAAGTGGGATTCAGCGTTGGATTTCAGGTTACACCCAATTCATTGCACTCTTTTTACAAACGTCATTGTCTTGCATTGTTAATAACACTGAACAGGTTCGCCTCCCGAATGAAGAAGCCAGACTGCTGCTTATACGGCTACATGAGCCGTAAGTGAAGTACAGTTAAGAATAGCAGCTCAACTTTCACTGAAAGTGAAAAGGTTTTTGCCAACAATGCGATGATCAAGAGGCACTTACATAAGAGAATCAGGGGGACCACAATCCCTCTCCAAATCCATTGGTGGTCATCTCCAATGACAGCAAATCTGCACCACGTGACGACAAGACATATCTTTTGAGAGGCTTTGTTTTCAAACTCAAGAAAACACCCACGAGTAAGAAACTCTTGCCGACCATCCTCCAGGATGCAGCGATGCTGATTGAGAATTTTTATGATACGGGAGCTGATGGGCCATCACATTAGTATACACCGAATGTGGGCAAAAGTGGGGGAGACGAGTCTATTGGAACCATAAATGCCATAAGACCGCACTGTTTAAAGAAAAACAAAAGAGTTGGATCAACTCAAATTTTGGAGGCAAACAACTTTTATAAGTTTGGAAGTTGGGAAGTTTAACTAAATGTTCCAGTTTTGCTTTTGTGAAAGTTGGTTTTCCCACATTTCACAAGAAAGATCGCAGAATTTGCACACTGTAAAAAAAAAATACAGTAAGTTGGGTCAACTGAAAATTTCAAGGCATCAAACTTTGACAAAATTTTAAGTTGGGTAGTTGAACGACATGTTTTAAGTTTTGCTAATGCCGAAATTGGCTTTCCCGCATTATTTCAACAAAGAAATAAATGTTGATAGAAGTAACTGTCCCGAGATTTGTCCCCCATCTTAAGGGAACAAACAAGTTAGCAAATTGTTTTGGAGCAAGCAACTTACTTGCTTTGTTGAGCTAACTAACATCGTCATTAATGTAAAGTTGTTATGAATCAAATTACTTTTTTAGCACCCCCCCCCAAAGTACAGTACAAATTGTGTTTTTGATTTTTTTACAGTCTTATCAGACAACTGAAACCATAACAATCCAACTGCCTCACAACGTAACCCTTCAGGTCAGAATTGAAACTATTTTAAAAAATGATCCAGATAAATCAACCTGAATACATCTACTCCATTAAGGCATGAGCTGAAGCATGTTCATATCATATCCAGACCTTTCTTCGGTACAGGCTGAATACTGGGTGGTGTCTCACGCCTTTGTGACCTGCGATCTTTGTGAGCTCTGTTAAGAAACGGGATCTGCATTTAAGTCAATTATAGTCGGAGCGAAATATGAAATGAAGACGTTCCCCGCCTGAAGATCCACCACACTTCACCCATTAGTGGTTGTCATGTTGAGACAAGGTGTTGCATTTCTTTCTTCCTTTGTGGGAAGTAAGGAAAGAAAAAAAACGCAGCACCCACCCTCCAACAAAATCCCAGCGGAGCAAGTCCATTGGTCAAAGGAGGAATCTAGAGGATGTGATTATCTATCATGAATGTTGCATTCAGTCTCATTTTGCCACATGAAGCTTCTGAGCAAACTCCAAAAAGAGTATTTGATGTCAATTTATGTCATAATCTAACGATCATTCGCTCCTAAAAATCAGATGGTATGCAGTCATGATTTTCTTTCAGGTAAGTCGATTAGATTTTTTTTTTTTTCCACTGCTGTGAATGTTCATTCTATTCACTTGCAAATCAAACTTTTTGTTGTTTTTTTTGTTTCATTTGTTGTTGTGCAGAGCATTGCATTTTGCTTCTTTATCTCAGGTAATAAAATGAAAGACTTGTACGTCGCTATGTAGTATAAATGTTGATGAATATACAACCATTGTCTTCCTCCAGACCTGCACTTATCTGCCATTTATGCACTTGAAAGTAAGTCTCGTGTCCATTTTGTAAGTTACTGATCCTAGAAATAATTAGTAGTTCGTTTCCCCCAGCGTGTCAGACTGCCTGGTTTGACGATGGAGATGTTTCGAGAGAAGGTGACTCGGAGCTCTTGACTGACCTGAGAAGCAAACATGGACGCATGATCTGCTCTGAGCCAGTGGACATGGAGGCTCAGACTGTTGCCGGGATCAAGTCTCAGCACACGTGGAACATCTTCCACACGTATGGCCGTTTTTTTTTTTGTTTTTTTTAAACATTTCCTTTTGTGAACTAGCCACATGAAACTTAAAATGGTCCACAGTTACTTTTAGTGGACATGGGATCGGAATCAGATTTATTGGCCAAGAATGTCAAACACAGGAATTTACGTATCCCGGTTACAACCCGCCCAGAGGGACATAAACAATGAACAACAGGGGGAGACAGACCAGGAAACCTGTCAGTTTGCTTTCAGCGCCTCGATATTCTTGATGTACGCAGAAAACAATAGTGAAGAGGAGAGAGAAAAACACTAGAATAGAATAGAGTAGAATAATAACATACAAAACCTATTTTTGGATGTACAGCACTCTCTCTCTGAAAGTGTCATTTGAAAGCTATTTTGTGATGCTCGCCGAAAGGAAAAGAAGAAGAAAGAAGTTGCTTTCTTTCAGGTTGCTAGCCGAAAGGAAAAGAAGAAAGAAGTTGCTTTCTTTCAGGTTTTATTTGATAATGTCCAAAAGATGGTTATTTTTTTGATGCAAATTAATGTTACTTTGGTGTGGATGACATTCACATGGCAAACCATGTGAAGGTTTGCCTACTTGTTCACTTTGGGAGAATAGACGACATGGCTCTGTGTGTGTGTGTGTGTGTGTGTGTGTGTGTGTGTGTGTGTGTGTGTGTTTCCAATGTTCAATTCTAATTTACTGCATTTCTCAAGCACATTTAAAACCAACTGCAGAGCGCAAAGTGTTGCATTACAAAAGATAAAACAGGAAAAGACTGAACACCCAATACATATCTAACAGAAATGTGCAACTCTTATGCATGGTTGGGGAACACCAAAGACGGGAAGCAACTTTTAATACGTGATTTAAATCATGTTTTTAGCCACAATGCGTCCGAGGGCCTTTTGTGCCTCAACAGAGAGCAAGCCTGGGGTCTATGTGAAGATTACAAGGTCAAGTTCACCTGTTCTGGAGATTTCTGTTCAGGTTTGTGAACAAAAACACAAACGAAATGACGTCATTCTTCAGTTTGAGGGTGTTTTGTGGTTGTGATTCCCATAGCTTGCCAGACGGGCTGGTTTGACTTGGATGACCCCGAAGGACATGGAGATTTTGAGCTCCTCGGTGATCTGCTCCTCAAGTACCCCGGAGAGATCTGCCCCCGGCCGATAGCCATCCAAGCCCAGGTCGTTTCCGTAGGGTCTCCCTCCAGTACTCCAGAGACATTCTTAAAGTGAGATCATGTTCAGGAAATTCAGCGTCAGGACATCGGCGACACAATCCTCGATTGACAGTCGTTTTGTTTACAGCCTGGATCCTACACATGGGTTTGCATGTTGGAATGCAGATCAGATTGACAAGAGCTGTGAAGACTACAAGGTCAGGTTCACGTGTCCCGAAGAGTTCTGTCAAGGTAAGTCATGTTTCTTTACGCAAAAATGGACGCCACATGCAGCCTCACAATCAGTCCCCGCAACATTCTGATATCGCATGTTATCTCAAATCAATCAAACTCTTGTTTGGCGATGAAACACGAGTTTGGATGCATGACAGGTCACTGATGATGTAGTGGTACAGTCGCCTGACTTGTGTGCGGGCAGCGTGGGATCGGTTCCCACTCGGTGAGAGAATGCATGTGGGTGTAGATAGTTGTTTGTCTCTATGTGTGCACAGCGACTGACTGGCGACCAGTTCGGGGTGTGGTCTGCCTTCCACCGGATATCAGCTGTGATAGGCTCCAGCAATCCCGTACAGGATAAATGGTTGGATGGATTCATGTCAAATTGTTGTAAACTGTAACCAATGGCAATTTACCGTGTAAACTTCAATCAGCCATTGAATAACATGTAATTTTTCAAAAAAAAAAAAGATTATGAGTAGAATGCGAGTGATCTATTTCCGGTCTCAGCTTGTTTATATAT